GGGCTAATGGAATAACTGTTGTAGATACAACTTTGCCATGGCGACAATGTGAGAGTCGCAATTGCTTGGAGACAGAAAGATGGTATAATTCCCATCTATATTGAATATGTACTTTGAAACCCGAGAATGGGACCATGGAATTCTTGCTAGCACATAATCCCTGGTCGTGTTTCATTCCCATGCACACGACCAAAAGTAACATTAACAAGCTCACCGCTACCATCTTTTTCGCAGCCAAATCAATGGCTGCTTCCATTTATGCTGGTACTGCATCCGGGAGATGAGCATCGCATTTTACATTTTTTTGCGAGACAAAGGCGCTAGTGTAGACATGGACAATGGTCAACAAAGCAATAAGGCCCATCGAGGGGGCACACAAAAGACCACAGCCAAGAAGAAGTTGCACCAGAATGGCCAAAACGTTAAAGCTTTCGCAGTGAATGCTCCTAGGAAGCTCGAGCGTATGGCTCGTCGTACTCATGATGTTAATGAAAAGAAATTGCATGTCCCCATGGTGGATAGAATGCCAGAAGATGACCCTCCTCCTGTGATTGTTGCTGTAGTTGGGCCTCCTGGTACCGGAAAAACAACATTGATCAAGTCTTTGATACGAAGATTGACAAAAACCACCTTGACAGAGGTTAAAGGTCCGATCACGGTTGTGAGTGGAAAAAAGCGTCGACTTACATTCATCGAATGTAACAATGATCTCAACTCGATGATAGATTTGGCTAAAATAGCTGATCTTGTTTTGCTTCTCGTCGATGGTAATTTTGGCCTTGAGATGGAAACCATGGAATTTCTTAATATAGCACAGCATCATGGTATGCCCCGTGTGTTGGGTGTTACTACTCATCTTGATTTATTCAAGTCTCAGTCTACTCTTCGGGCATCCAAGAAAAAATTAAAACATAGATTTTGGACAGAAGTGTACCAAGGTGCCAAGTTGTTTTACTTGTCTGGTGTTATAAATGGGCGTTATCCAGATCGTGAAATTATCAATTTGAGCAGATTTATTTCTGTGATGAAGTTCCGCCCTTTGAGGTGGAGAAATGAACATCCATACTTATTGGCGGATCGAGTGACCGATTTAACTCATCCCCAAGAGATCACCGAGAATCCAAAATGTGACAGAAAAGTCGCCATGTATGGCTATTTGCATGGTACTCCCTTGCCCTCATCAAATGCTCACTTTCACATAGCAGGTGTTGGTGATTACTACGTCTCTTCTGTGGAAAAACTTCCTGACCCATGTCCAACTCCTGCATTCGAACAACGGTTAGAGGAGATAGAAAGAGAAAAAATCAAGGCTGCCGCCGCTGCGGGAGAACCTGTTGCCAAAACAACCAGGAGAAGAAAGAGACTTGAAGACAAGCAGAAGATTATTTACGCTCCCATGTCGGATGTTGGTGGTGTTATGGTCGATAAAGATGCGGTTTACATTGATATGGGCGACAAGCAACTGTTTGTTCCAGGAGAAGATTTGGAAGGAGGTGAGAAATTAGTCACTGATTTGCAAGAAGTCCAAAAAACGATGCAAGAAAGGTTCGAAGAGGGCCCTGGCTTACAATTGTTTTCCTCCTCTCATGCTTTACGTGAAGCCGACTTAGAAGAGGACGAAGACGAGGAAGAACTAGACGATGATGAAGAACCTAACGGCGACATGGGTAGGTCTACCATGAGACATGCTCGCAAGCACATCCGTTCGGATGCTGCTGAGGTGAATGATACCCAATTAGGAAGCGACAGCGAAGATGAGGACGTCGATCTCGATGAAAATAAGAGGCAAAAAGTGATAGATTTGGGCGACAAGTATGATGAAGCAGAGTTGTCTTTTGAGGAAGATTCCTCGTTATCTTCCGATGAGGAATTCGCCGAACAAACAACGAGATCATCATCGAATCAAGGAAAGAGAAAGTGGAATTTGAATAGACTTCTTTACATGCCAAATATTGATCCCGAGGATGTGGTGAAGAGATGGAAAGGTGATGACGAAGAGGACGAGGAAGAAGAAGATATTGAAAAGGACGACGATGATTTTTTCAAGCAACGGAAGTCGGCAAAAGATCAGAGCGTTGATTTGGATACGTTTATTCCGCCTTATCCCTCTGTTGAAGAGCTTCGCTCTAAATTCTCCAATGAAAGCGATGAGGAGTACGAAAGTGGTTATGCCAAATTAAAGCTGAGATTTTTGCTGGCTCCACTTAGTCATGAAAGTGATGAAGACAACGAGGAAGATAAGAATGGTGATTTCGAAGACTTGGAAGCCCAGGAAGATGAAGATAATTCACAAAACTCTGACGACTTTGCGGACTTTGATAAAGAGGAAGCAGATGGGGACGACCAAGACACTCCAGAAAGCGAAGTTGATGAAGCCGATCCACAAAAGGCTCGTGAATTGTCTGCTTCGAAAAAAGCCAAGTTGAAGTTGCAGTTCGAAGAGGAAGATGATCGCGAGTTTGGGGCCGATGATCCTGAGGGTGACACAGAAGCTGATACTTGGTATGAGTTTCAAAAGAACAAAATTGCAAAGCAATTGGAGATCAACAAGGCTGAGTATGAGGAAATGGACGAAGCATCAAGGGTCAAAATTGAAGGTTATACAGCCGGTTCGTACGTGAAGATTGTATTCTCCAACATTCCATGTGAATTTGTCGAGAATTTGCAACCTGAGTTTCCTCTCGTCTTAGGAGGATTACTTCCTACTGAGTCAAGGTTTGGAATCATGAACGTCAGAATAAGACGCCATAGATGGCACAAGAAGATTTTGAAGTCACAGGATCCATTGATTCTATCTTTAGGATGGAGGAGATTCCAAACCCTTCCTATCTATACCACCACAGATTCCAGAACCAGGAACAGAATGTTGAAGTATACTCCCGAGCATGCTCATTGTTTCGCATCATTTTACGGACCGCTAGTTGCTCCCAACACTACGTTTGTTGGTTTCAATATAGTTTCAAAGTCTGCAACTACCGGCTCGTTCCGTGTTGCTGCTACTGGTATCGTTGAGGATCTCAATTCAGAGGTTGAAATTGTGAAAAAATTGAAACTTGTTGGACACCCTTACAAGATCTTCCGTAACACTGCGTTTATCAAGGACATGTTTTCCAACTCTCTTGAAGTGGCTCGGTTTGAAGGTGGTTCAATTCGTACGGTGTCTGGTATTCGTGGTGAAATCAAGCGAGCATTGTCCAAACCGGAGGGTCATTTCAGAGCCACATTCGAGGACAAAATCTTGATGTCAGACACCATTTTCTTAAAGACATGGTACCCTGTGAAAGTCAAGAAGTTTTACAATCCTGTCACCTCATTATTGCTCAGAGATCATAGTGAATGGCAGGGTATGAGATTGACTGGTCAGGTTCGTGCTGAACAAGGTGTACCCACCCCAATGAACGAAGACAGTGCTTACAAAAAGATTGAGAGACCTGAAAGACACTTTAATCCTTTGAAAGTTCCGAAATCCATCAAGAGTGCACTTCCCTTCAAGAGTCAAATCCACGAAATGAAGCCGCAAAAGAAGCAATCATATTTGGCTAAGCGTGCTGTGGTTTTGGGCGGCGAAGAAAAGCGTGCTAGAGATTTGATGCAAAAGATTGCTACTGTGCGTAAAGAAAAGGAGAGCAAGCGGAGAGCTAAAAAGGATGAAAAGTTCCAGGACAGACTCAAGAAGAAAGCCAAGGAAGAGGAAATACGAAATGAAAAGAAGAAGGAAAAATCCAAGGAGTTTTTTGCTCGCGAAGGTAGAAAGAGACCCGTGGGTAACAATGAGACTACGACGGCAGCTTTTGGCAAGAGGCAAAGAAGATAGTTTCCATAGCATATTAATCTAATACGAGACACCAATTAGTGTCGCGAAAAAAAAAATAGTTTTAATTTTTTGTTTTCATAGTCTCTATACGAAAACAATGGTCCATGAAGTGGATATAGCCGAAATACCGTTGAAAAGAAGCGAGGAAACGTTTGTAGATGAGCCAAAGTCATTATTGGATGTCAACGATATCGAATTATCCTTCGACCTCAAACATAAAGTCAAGAACATCAACTCATTGCATGTCTTCCATGCGATTGTAATACTACGAAATACAGTTGAAGTGATTATAAAGCTCCAGGAAGATCCACAACGGTTCCAGGATTACAGAAATTCACAGTTGGCCTTGTTAGGAATACAAATAGATGATAGTGGAGTCCCATACATCGCTGATTCCAACAGCAACAATCGCAGCAACAAACCTGACATGACTACCCCGCCTCATTCACCTCCACTAAAAATTGCCAAAATAGTAAAGGAGGACCTGTCCAACGACTTCTTGAAGGATGCAACTCCAGAGTCTACCGAATTGCTAGACGACGGCGAGTCTGTGAACGCAACTACCTCGCTGTACATACCTATCGAGTTACTATTGAAGGAAGAATTTACCGAGGTTTCTGAACCCATTACAGGGTGCAGCAGTAAACGCATCTACAGAGAGATGCAAACGACTCGCAAACAGAAAGCAGCTGCTCAATATTCGCATCTTCTCAAGTCATTCAATTTAGCCAGTGAACCAACTATTTCTGTTGAAAGTTTCCTCATGAGAATCAACACTTACTCTTCTTCTACATCGGTTCTGGTTTACATCCACGCAGCATTCTTGATCTACAAACTAGCTGTTATCATGGACGTGCTACCTCTCTCCATGTTTAATGTGCACCGAGTAATCCTTTCTCTGATCAGATGTCTGACTAAAAAATTAGAGGATGTTTACCAGTCACAAACTAACTATGCTACGGTAGTGGGTGTTTCCAAAAAGGACTTGTTCAAGTTGGAAGTTGGGTTCTTGTTTCTCTGTAATTTTCAACTTGTAGTTGGAGAACAAATCTTGAATGATTTCGTAAAACTGGCATACGTTGATCTTTTGCATACGAACGCTAACGAATAAATACAAGTCATCATAAAAAAGTAAAGATCCTTGCTTTAAAGGAATGACCCTCCATTTAACAAAAAAATTAAAGTATGCGAATTCTGTGGATCGAACACAGGACCTCCAGATTTCTTGACTGAAGTCGACTTCAGTCTGGCGCTCTCCCAACTGAGCTAAATCCGCCACCAGTATATGAACCCACGGCGGGAGTCGAACCCGCAATCTTTTGATTAGAAGTCAAACGCGTTAACCATTACGCTACGCAGGCTCTTTGTTGTGTCTTTTGTGTCGCTAGCATTCAAGCCAGTTACTCTCTAGATGCGGGAACGCAACTATGATGGAACACAGATCGCAGCAAGTCAATTGAGTTATATGACTCACTATGCATCATATCCGAATTCAGTCACACCCCAGATATGCACCATACAACATTTACGAATAGACTCATTTTGGTTGCCCGTTTTCCCGTAGTAACCGCGGCTGACTACCTTCTCTGAGAGCCCCACCTGCGTCATTCGTGCGGCTCATACTGATAAGGGTGTGTCATAGGCGCAAAACGTGGCTGCGTTAGTGCATTTGTTTATAAACCACACATCGTTTGATTTACTCATATCTATTAGTCACATCTGCATCTACATCAGTCAGCTCTTTTGGGAATGAAAGTACATTCTGCCAATCCTTATAAGGGCCTCAAACCAACCATACAGCTTTCTAGCTTCCCCACAAATATCTCTAGACTTGCTAAAAATAACACCATTAGAACCATGCGTACGAGCCTGAGTAGTATGGATACTACTGAAGGGCTCTCATTGGACCAGATGGTCAATTCGTCGTGGTTGAGACACCACCTTTACTTGTTGGGACTGGATCTTATCAAGCTCAAGCTTTATCAGAAGTTTAGTCACTTGTTGACTACAGGAGGTGGAGGACTTATCAAGAATGCCGTATTCGAATTATCGTCTTTTCTCAAGAGAGAGCTCGTGGATAGACGATGCCGGGCAGATAGCCCCGAGTCCAGTATTGCGAGTCAGTTGAAGGAGTTGATCTCCTACAACTTGTCATTTACTGCTGATTCACAGAGAAGTGCTATACTTGATGGAGAGGACTATCGAGAATCTCAGTTTAAGTGGTTCTTCATTGCCGTGGGCTACATGATAGTGACAGAATCAGAGAGATCGGTTGAAGATTTGGCCGATAAGATTATCTCCATCTACATGAGCTCTACGACGCCCACTATCCCAATCGACGCAGCTTCAGCTCCCCAGATTGACACAGACAATGCTAGGATACTAAGTTTGATTCACCGCTATTACAGATCGGTCGACATCGACTATGATCTTCTTTATCGTCCACGGCCAATCTCCATCAGGATGTTTGACTCCGTCTACTACCACATTGATCTTCCACCGCTTCCAAAGATCGAGAACAAGTCGCTTCTCGCTAAGGCTTTGATGCACAAGGAAATGTACCGAGCATTTCTTGTCAAGTCGCACCCTTTTAGCGAAATGTTGCTTGAAGAAGGTATCGAACCTACTAGAGATTCATGCAAGGTTATTCGCTACGACCTTTCATTTTTGGACGGTTTGGGAGACTTCTACTTGGCTCGTGAGTCTTCAAAGCTATTGTATCAGTTCAAGGTGGAGACAGCACCACCATCAGAGGATGCTGGTTTTGGCAGAAAGTCTTACAACATGTTGAGAACTATTCTTGCTACAAACACACTTCTTTCGAAGTTGGCGATAGCTTATAACCTCCATCGTGGACTTAATGATCCAATAATTTACCAGTTCTTGTTGGAAGACTACGTTCCTCACATATCTACCTGGTCGAGTCCTGAGTTTGATATGTCTGACGACGTCAACGGTGTCATGAGGTATGAGCAGGAATTCATTGCAGATTATTTTGAACAGTACGTTGGAGCATTGTTTCTCGAGCAGCCAGAAGTTGCACAGGACTGGATCAACAAGATATACCACAATATCTTGTTACTGATACCAGATCTCCACACCACTCCCGGGCGAATTCTTAGGTACGACTACAGGGCCTGGAGCCATGACGTGATTGGAAGACAAGTTATGTAGATCTTGACTCGGTATGATAAGTATGAAAGAATCAATATAAGTTAGATCCGACCAATGACATAAAGCTATTCATTTGCGAGCATCTTTCATCAATGCTGCAAAGCCGCCGTTGCCTCGCTTCTTCTTATTACCTGCTAACTTTTTGGCAGTGATATATTTTGATGAGTTATCATCTGAGTCAGAATCGTCAGATGAGGAAGACGAGGACTCAGACGACAGTTCAGAACTTTCGTCCTGCGTTTGTGAGCCTTGAGTCTTTGCTGGAGCTGTCAGTTGCTGACTGCTATCTCGGACATCAGGGACACCTCTTTTCGCCAAATCTGTCAATGAATTTAGAGTTGGTTTCTTTATGCTAGAAGGAACTGTAGCGTTCAGCTCGGGTTTTTGAGACTTTTGTACAGGTGAATCCTTTTTCTCTACCGCCTTCGTATCCGATGGGCCAAGAATCGTATTCTTTGCCTTGGTCGACAACGCTTGTCCTCTAGGTTTTATTGAGGTGAAACTTGACGAAGGGGTAGACGCCGCTAGTCTAGGCTTTTGCTTATTTCCTGATGTACTTGAGTCAGATTCATCCGATGACTCTGAACTTTCGTCTGACAGCTCTGATGATTCTGAGATCTGCTCGGACATCAGGTCTTTACTTGAATCTTCTGGTTCTTTTGATTTGTTTTCCTCTTTCTTAGATGGTAACTGTTCGGTCTTGATCTCTGAGAGTGAGGTATCATGATTTCGAGGAACATTTAAAGATGTGAGCTTCGCATCAAATTTCTTTACTTTATCGAAAACAGATGCGAGTTTGGATTTGGGAGGAAATTCAAGAGATATCCTAGAACTGTCATTACTCTTGCTGTTGGAGTCATCTGCAGTTTTTGATGTATCTTTCCCATTCTGGACTATGTTGACAGTAGGGACTGTATTATTGCTTGAACCTTCACCATTAGTACGTACCGGAGACATTAATGTTCTCTCAGTAGTGTAAACAATTGGGGCGCCATCTTCAGAGGTGCCGTTTTGGCCCCGCAGACGTGAACGCGTGGCTCTTGTGGAATGGTCCACTACGGGAAAGTTGGCATTGACCATATCTATTTCCAAGCCTTTCATTAAGTTCCGAGGGGGACGCCCCTTCGATGGCGATATTTTGGAAGCTGATTTCAGCCCATTTTTCTTTGATTCTTCAGCTTCGTTTTTGGAGAACAGGTCCTTGAACATTTCCAATAATTCCTGTTTAGACATCACGCTTCCTGCGTCGGAGTCATCGTCGTCCTTGTCATCGGAGTCGTCGCTGCTTTCGGTATCGTTTTTATTCTCCAGAGCACTCTCCTCTTCCATTTCGATATCTGGTTCAACGAAAGAGTTCATGTCAACCAGTTTGGTCGGAGACGGTTGGGGTACGTTTTCCAGTGGTGATGCAAGCATTGTGTGCGTTTCATTCTCTGGCGAGTTGCTTTCATGTACTGGTGCTGCCAACATACCTGAAGTGATACGTTTGGTGGGTAGCTCACTATGTGATACCGGATTGCTACGTTTTCGAGGAATTGTCCTGTCGTCTCGCGATTCTGGAGGTGGTAACGATATCATGCTCTGGTCCAAATGACTTGTAGAAGGCAGTCTTGGAGCTGTTGGGGACGAAGCTGAAGGAGCGAAAAACTCATCATTAATTTTTTGCTGGGTGGTTGTGGTTCGTTTTTTCGGTATGTGTATGTCATGAGTAGAGGAATTGCTGCTAATTCTCTCATTCCAAATAGTTGGTCTAGATAGCAAATCATCCTGAGTGGTCTGTGGATCTATGTCCATACGGCTTGCAGATTCTGATGTTGCCTTTCTTGAATAACCAAGCGCTGTGGGTGTACTTTGGGCCCGGTGTGAGATGTCAGTCAATGTTTGATCTAACATATTTGGCCGTGCAGAATTCGATGCAATGACACGTATTATATCTCCTTGGTTTAAGACCTCATCCACCAAATAATCAGGGTCTAGGTCGCACATATCGTTGTCTTGGACCAGAAATATTTGAAGCTCGTCATCGTCTGGATACAACTTTCGATATCTCATCACTAGGGTTTCGCATACTTGATGAAGTGTAGAACTACCCTCTGCCAAGTGGACAAACTTTCGAGTACCCCATTGAGTTAGCTTGGTACTATCCACTTCTTTTCTGTTGTGGGGCACCAATAACACCTGCAACTTCACCATTACCATCTTACGAAGCGTGTCGCAACTTGGAGTGCAAAATTTCCAATGCGGTAACATGGCATCATAACACCATTTTCAACCCATATCCCAATGGCTGCAAAAATTGTCATTTGAGCACATCGGAGCCAAGTAAGCGAACGGCGTCTTCTCTAAGCTTTGACAAATCTTCAGCTGGTGGCTCTGTAGTAAACCGCTCAAAAACGGTCTCGGGGTCCGGAACTTCAAATGAGGCGGACCAAGTGAGAATCTCACCATCGAGAGTACCGCCATAGAACTGACCTTGAAACGGCGCACCCAAAGCCATTGCAGAAGTTCTGGCGGACGTAGGCTTGTCGCTATTTGTTTTTCGTTTGAGCCTCGAAACCATCTTCCCATCAATGATCCGAAACACAAATATATCGCCCGAATCGGAAGGAAAAAGTAGGTACGAAAGCTCTGTCTCCTGGTGTGAATTGAGTAGCATTGGAATGTTTTGTGGGTACTTGTTTCTTGTGAGTGGTCCGAAATTGATGAGTTTGTTGATTGGAGGAGCCAGATTTGACAACAAATCCCATACTCTGATCTTGTCGTCATTACCAGCAGACAATAGCAATTGGCCCATCAGATCCCATACTAAACCGTTTACAGGCGCCAGGTGTGCTCTTACGGGCACCTCCTTTCTTGTTGAGGCCGAAGATGTGCCCTTTTCACTGGTACGAAGCATGTCTAGTCGGGCAATACAGCTGTTGCTGCGACGAATATCCCATAATTTGATTTCCCCGTCGAAACCGCCCGTGGCCACTACGTTCTCCATATGAGGATGCCACTTGACACTTAAAGTTTTCCCTCTATGGCCCGGAAGGGTATGCGAACTGGCAGTTGATCTAAGATCAACAAGTCTCACATGCGGGTGGTCAATTGCAACAGCTA